AGATTGAAAATTCACAAGAACAAAACGAACATTTGCCATGGAGAATGACAAATACGTGTTGCAAGTCGAGTTCATTGATTACGTTCTCACCTGAAAGACTTATTTATTTAATCTGAAAACCAAATTAAAAATACCACACGAGCTATTATTAATAGAGTCAATTAAATTTCTACTTAATGATCAATTCTTAAAAAAAAAAGAAAAAAAGAAACACTCATTTGTTTATTGGCCTGCTAATATATCGTTATGTTCTAGATGTTTCTAAATAGTATGTATATATTTTGTATAATTAAACTGATATGAGAACTTGAAAGGGAAATAAAACGTTCAATAAATCTTAAATGCTTTAATAGGCCTTAAAATATACGGCTCTCATATTCGAGTTTAATCACAAAACATGGTATTAATAAATCTACCAATGTTTATCCTACATTACACTCCGGTTAGAGATTATGATGAAAATGATTTCTTTTTTAATTAGGCTTTTCTTCCTCTGAATATCATTGTTCATGTGTGAGAGAATATATATATATATATATATATATATATATATATATATATAATATATATATATATCTATCTATAAAATGTTTAGGAAAAAAATGTTTATAAATTTAACATGTTTCGCTTTAATTTAAGCTTCTTCGGAAATTTAAAAATGAAGGATTAAAGAACATTCAGGTTATTTTTGCTTTTTTAAAAGTTATCTAGACCTCGGGTTTTCCACACTGCATGGCAGCGTTCGTCTGTATAATTCATGTTTGTGTGTGTGTGTATCCTAATTCTAGTTTTTCTACGCAGAATTCGGATGATAATGTGTATTCGTCTGTGTGCGTCTAGTAGGAAATTTTTAACATTTTGGCGCCTTCCGTATGTAGAGTTAAGGACATATTGTGTGAGATTGAATGACTTTAATTTGCTCGGATTGTGCTTGTATATAGACACAGGTTTTTATGTATGGCTTTTTATAGAAGATGGTGACATATATAATATGTTTGATTTACGTTCTTGGGAGAAACAACTATCAAAGTTACACGTGAAAAAGAAATGGACAAATCTCTACCTTTCTTCGGCATACTATTAATAGGAAACAATAAGGGATCTGTCTATACAACTCCGAGTAAAAGTCATAAGTGGCGACCCAGAGACATTAGATAAAGAATTGGTCAGTATAAGTAATACCCTACAACGTAACAGCTACCCTGGATACATGGCACCCACCCCCCACCAAAAAGAAATCTTGGAGAGGCGGGTACAAGAGGAGGACAACAAAACTCAGGAAACAGACTGCCTGTCTTATGTGAAGGGGTTATCAGAGAAAATACAAATGATCTGCGGTCCATATAACATCAGAACAACCTTCAAAAGCTTGACGACACTTCGCAGATATCTCTATCTCTCCCGAGTAAGGCCTCCAATAGAGAAGAATATGTCTAAAGACTGTGTGTATGCTATCCTGTGGAAAGAAATATAAAGGGAAGACAGGCCGCCCCCTTAAGGTAAGGCTTCAAGAACACGAGAAAGCTATTAGACGAGAGGAATTGGAAAAATCAGTCGTGGCTGAATACATATGGAGAGAGAAGGGGGAACACAGCCCTCTGTGGGATCAGGTTGAGATCATTGACAAGGAATACCATTGGAAAATTCGTAAACTTAAGGAATCAGCACATATGCTAGGCCACAAAAATCTCCTGAGCCGACCAAGCTTAGATATAAATACAATATATGAACCGATAACAAGGAGTGCCAGAGAAAGGCAATAATAACAACAAAAGATGCAATATGAGCTCTGGTAAAAATAAAGCAATGATAACAGTAAAAATTGCAATATAAGCACTGGTAAAAATGTTTGCTGAGACATTAGTTTTATAATACCCAGAAATTCATACACAAATGTCCTCAAGAACACATGGCACAGTGGAAAGAGGCGTTGGTTAGATCCAGTGACAGGACCCAAAAAAAGGAATTGGGGAACTTTCAGAGGGAAATTAACAGGAGATAACTGATAACTGACATCCATTAAACATGGCACGTGGAACTAGAACAGTCTACCACAGTGAGTGAAATAAAAGGTTCAGTTCGACATTCCAACCACCTGAAGAAGGCAGGATCCTACAAAGGCCGACACGTTGTAATAAATATGGCTAAAAAAATGAGGACAATTGTCCGAATAATGTAAATAAGGAAAAATAACGAATTAGTTTTTAATGTTTGCTGAAACCCAAAAATAAAATGATTTAATCAATGTATATTTCAAACACCGCCCAAAAATATAATGAGTACTAATCATATGCTTTTACCTCAGCGCCGTTAAAATATGTAGACCTTTAATTGAAGAAGAAAAATACACGGGAAAAACATTTAGAATTCGTCACTACCAACATCATCTAGTTACAAAACGAGCATACAAAGGCCACAAACAAAAAGTAGGTATCACCACAGTCAACATAAAGCATTTAAGTGAAGAAAAAACACAAACATGTAAATCACACCCTCTAATAATCTATAAACAAAATTAGAAAACAAACTAGTAACCTCGGAAAAAAGCATTTCCCACCACCTCCAAGACAAGCATATGAAGAGCATATAAAGAGATATAGTTAAGCAGTAAAACAGATCGAACACCACATCATATGCCGGCATTTATTACATAAAACGACTGTAGATTGGAAATATCTATATTTGTAATACATTTACGCATTCTAAAAGCCCGAATCTACCGACATGAGATAAACCAACTTTGGGACAGCCCTTTAAATTTACTCTTAACACCCTAGTGTCTCGCTGACGGGCCGCTGATGGAATTCAAGCAGTCCTCTAGTGCCAATCAACGGCAGATCACGACCGACAGGCCACCGGCTTGCTTTCGGCAGGTACCGGTGGGACTCTAGCGATCCGCCAGTAGTAACATTACTGAGAGGAACCAGGCCATCGGTGCGACACCAGCACTCAGCGGTAAACGCTAGTGGTATGCCACCAAATGGCACACTGTTGGCTTGAATGTATGGACACAAAAGCAATAAAATGCCACAACTAGACTTTTATACATGCCACCCTAATTAGAATGCGATAAACACTCTATTTGAAGCGTCAGTAATGACCTGTCATATATTCTCTTCCTCATTCAGTAAATCTCTACACTGAGGTTTACTGGATTTACTTAGGGCCTGTATTTAGGAAACAGAAGTAAAACTATTCTAAGTGTCTATTATTTATTACAAAATACTTGTGAAGATGATAGGTTTTGATGTACACGAAATATTTTTTGTTTGCTTCAGAAAAAAATGAATCATACTTTGTGCAAAATTGATTGATGTTGGTACTTCACGCTCAATTTGGTGGCTGCAAATCTTTCTTATGCATAATTTAGTAACATCTTCGTCTATAACTGTGATTTCCAATTATTCAATTGTCCTGACGCGTGAGGACTAACTGGCAGCTAAATGGAAATATATTAGCGAACTAAAAAAGCAATTTACGATATAATATATGCTATCGAAAAAGGATCATAGGTATTCGCAAAATTGCATAGAATATTAGCCCTCTATGTCAAATATTACAATGTTCGGTTTACAAGTTTTTTTTTGGTGGAGACAACGCAAATATTACTTGTGCATGTTAAGCCGTAAGAGTGTTTGAATAAACACCGTAAACAAATCAGCCAATTTGATCTTCAAAATTTAAAGGCAATATCAAACCTTTTGCAGTTAATATGTTTTTTTCTTTTGTTATTCACTCTCTTTGATAATGGTTAGCTTTAACTCCTCTCCTTCCACACACTTTACGTCCTATTGGTTTTATTCACTTGCGCGTGGGAAAAATTATTAAAAATGTTAGATGTGTACTGACAACAATCACTATTGTACACTTAAGTAGCTGAAATGATTATATATATATATATATATATATATATATATATATATATATATATATATATATATATATATATTAGGACATTTTTAGGTTTATACATTCTTTTTTTATAGATACAAGTATTTAAGTAAATCCTCCCTTTGGAAAAAAAAACAGTACTAACGACATTTCCCGGTCTGCATGTCTGAGAAATTTTCATAGAAAATATTATAAACAAAGCATTTACTTAAATATTTATATCTATAAAAAAAACGTATAAACTTAAAAAAATATCTTAAAATAATTGTCGGAATTTGTCCATTTCATAATGTTTTTCATTTGTTTACATTTGGATACGCATCGGGCAGATATGAATGTACGTGAGGAAATCATGGAGAATTGTAGTTTAAAAACATTAAACTCGACCCTTCTAACCGAAACACTCAATCGGTAAAGTAGTCAGTCTATATGACGGTTCGAATAGGATACATGTTCGATTCTTGACGGAGGACGCATATTTTGTATGAAAATTTCTTGGACATTCAGGTGGGTAAATGTCGTTAATACTGTTCATTATAAACGGATTATTTATTTAAATATTTGTATCTATAAAAGAACGTATAAAATAAAAAAAATGTCTTACAAGATTTGTAGGACTTTGTCCATTTCATAATGTGACATATATATATATATATATATATATATATATATATATATATATATATATATAAGAGAAATTTGTATTGACAACAACCATTAATTAAAACATTAGCAGTTGAATCATTGCAGTCATCACTGCTAACAAAAGAAAGTTTCTGCCACATTACATAAATTGCCAGTAGATTTTCTGTAATCTCTTCACAGCCTGCCGCATATATTACCTTTTAACGTTGCAAATATGTTGCCTTGCAACATTACATTAACAGAAAATGGAGAATAAATTGCAGAAACCTCGAAGAAGTATACTTGTTACCTAAGTTAGTGATTCTCATTTAGGAAAAATGTATTCTGATTTCAGATTTAACCAGTGCAAACATTTTCAGCTACGAAACTTGACAAGTTTACCATAATGTGAAAACTTTGTTGCTGAGCTGTCATTTTGAGGTCAGTAAAATGTTATTTCAGTGTTACGATATCGTCGCCAAAAGGAAGTTCTTTCTTTCTTTCTTTCTTTCTTTCTTTCTTTCTTTCTATCTATCTATCTATCTATCTATCTATCTATCTTTCTTTCCTTTGTAGCTCTTGCTATATATTTTTGCTCTCTCTTAATACCTGTTCTGAAAACCATCTACACAATCTCGTTAGGTAGGTGATTCGCTAGTTTCTTTTGTTCCTCTTGTTTTCTATACACATGTTCTATGAGATGTATATTTCCTAATCGATCTTTTCTCAGTATTGTCCAAGAAATTTCGGATTCGAAGTATAAGGGTTCATTTTCTCTCCATTTTCTCTGATTTTTTTCATTGCCCGCAGATTCTGTCAATATTATCCGGCATATGACCTTGTAAAGCCATATTTCCCTGGCTTTATAACTTTTCTTCGTCTGTTGGGATGAGATCTTCTGCATTCAGTGTTATATAGGGAGCCGGATATATCCTTAAATTTCAGTTTTTTTTCTTTCCTTGTTTCTAAAATAATTTTCTTAAGGATTTATTTAGTTTTTGTAAGACATCGTTCGCTATCCCAATCATTCATCTGATTTCCGGTTTGCATTTTTGTCCTCTGTCAAAACACTTGTTAAATATTTAGATTGTTATACTAGCTTGAATTTGGTGTCTCCAAATTGCAATTCACATGCTGGATAGATCCTTTTACTGACGTTGTTTAGTAATACCTTGTGGCATTTCTTTACGGTATTCTGTAGAACATATTGTAGTTTTCTTCTTTCTCATTACTATCAGCGCGGTGTCATCTGCATATCTAATATTGTTAATATTGTGCCTCTCACAAACGAATCCTTGTAGAAATTGTTCTTTACATAAAGAAAATAACTTATCTCGAACGTTGCAAGAACGTTGCATGTCAATTTGGCTTACGAACAAATACCGCGCATGGTTGCCGAAGCTAAGCAATGTCGAGCCTGTTTGTACCGCTTGAGGATAAAAGGTGCCGTTAGCTTGTATGCGCAGGTGGAGTAATCGATAACGGCTCAGCTTTGGAAATCGGAGTGCCGAGTTCCAATTTCAGTCTGGTTGATTATATTCATTTATTCACATACGCATCTTCTCACCCATCTTATTAGTAAGACTTCTCTGACTAAACAATTATTATCTCTAAAAATTATTTCTAACTTTATCTAATCTACAAAAGGCTGATAAGTCGTAAAAAATCAATCATGATGAACGTATAAGTGATAATCTTTCAATCTGTGCTCTTAAGACCTTTTAAACTCAATGAGAGAACTTTCATATAATTTACGAACATAATCTACTGTTCAAAAGATTGAAACATCCTCAGAATTAGCAAGGGAAAAACTTGAGTGAAGTGTGAAAAAAATATGGAAAAGAGCTATAAGAGTCATTGAAAAATAATGGAATCAATTATCTCTTTTAACTAAGAAAGGGTTACCGAATGAGGAATAACGAAAACGGATGTTGGAAATGAAATGGCAATCTTCATAACATCGACAGAATAAAATACTCGCCAGCGGCGTGAAGTAGGTAAACCACTACTAGTGGTGAACTACTTAGACAGCATATTACACCCACTTACAATAGTGCACAACGTATTTATGAGGATTGGGACATAACCATTAGTGTTTATAGGCACGGCATATAACATTTATCAAAATTATACTTTGATAAAATGTCAAATATTTGTGCTGCAGTGTTCAAGATTAAAAGAGGATATTTTGACGAAAGACAAATTTAATTATATTTTTTTCGTCATTATAATATTTCTAATAAAATGTCATCTCGTACTTTTTTAAAAGATGAATAATAATTCTCTCTTATTTAAAGTACAACACAACTACTTTTGGGACCACTTTTAAAAAAATACCAGGGATCACGTCAAACTTTTGAGCTGTAGTTTATAATGTGAACAAATAAAATATTACCCTTATTTAATCAGGTTCATTAATAAAATGCATACACATTTGTATTGTTGTGATAATTAGTTAAATATAAGAGATGACTGAAATGAGGAATACAAATTAATATTTGAAAACCAGAATGGATTTATTAAAGGAAATTACAAAACTTTTTGTAGGAATCATTAACAGCTTCTAAACAGATTACGAATTCGTTGTATTCACTTGTTTCATTAGCACATGTGATATTAACCAATAACATATTCATACGTCGTTAGTTGAGGTGATCAGAATATAAAGGTATATGATTTTCCAGATTATTTACACCAGATAATTATGCACAATTCTACTCATGATTTGTAATTTTAATGATGAATTCAGACTTAACATTGCAAATCGACGCCGGATATTACCTTAAATTTCAGTCTTTTTTTAAAGGAAGAAAGCAATATGTTCATAGACGGAAATATATCGGAAAATATGTTGTTTATTGTCGAGACATGTAAGTATTTCCCTGCTTAAAATTGATTTAATCTTTGCATAAGACATATTTTATCTTTTGGATTAAATAGAATTACTCTTTTCAATTTGAAATTGTTGTAGGTTAAAAAAATTATATGTATTGGAAATTATTTCAGGAGATTATTGAATTATTTTCTTTCAGAAAAGTATACGCAAGAATATCTTATATATATATTGCACATTTGTTTAATATGTAATTAATTTGAAGCCTAGCATGTTCTCTACTCCCCCTCTATTATAAATATGCAAATGGGACATATAAAGTAATCAAAATATTTGCATATATGTTAATCTAATCAAAATTAAGATTACATAAATATACTTGTATACAGCAAGTAAATAATAATAATAATAATAATAATAATAATGATAATAATAATAACAAAAACAATGACAGCAACAACAACAACAACAATAATAATAAACATTGATATATAATAATAAAGATAGTGAAGGGATTCCTCGTAGCCCGTGCCTTAAAGAAATATACAAATTTGTTCTCGCGAATACAATCCAAACTGTGCGAAGGGCTTCATCTATGTAAAAGATGTGTATGTTTTGTTTTTGTTTTTGTTTTTTACGTTTTTGATTTTCCTGTTTGTTTGTTTTTTTTTTTTTTTTGAATTGCTCCGTGGAAAATATCATGATGCCATTTCTGTCTTCAGGTCTATGGGAAAGAAGTGAGTACACACCAGAAATCAAAGGAAACAACATCAAATATAATAATAATAATAATAATAATAATAATAAAAATAATAATAATAATAATAATAATGCGCAGAAATACAAGTAAAGCACAATACACCGGCTGAAGCTGCAAAATACTTTTAAAAAATAGCAAAGACAAATGCAACCGAGCAGATACAGAAACAATGACAAGATAAACCCCTTCATTGCCAATACTCTGCCCGTACCAAACAAGCTGACGTAGACAAAACCCCTACCCATCAGTGGCTACGTAGTGCAGGGTTGAAAGCTGAAACTGAAGGTTTTATCCTTGCTGCACGGGTCTAATGTTTGTTAACTAGGAATTATCAAGCACATATACTAAAATATTTTGTTAGCCCAAAAATGCAGGTTCTGTGATAAATATCCAGAAACAATTCATCATCTTGTATCAGGTTGCACGATATTGGCACCCACTGAGCATAAAACCCGGCATGATAGAGTGGGCCAATATCTGCACTGGGAAATGTGCGACTTCTACAGGAAGGAAACTAGTATGAACACCACCCATACCCGGTTACGGGGATAAGACCTGTTACAATTCTATGTGACTTAACAATACACACTGATAGAACAATCAAAGCCAACCGCCCAGACATTGTTATTAGAGACCACAAACAGAAAAGGTGTCTCTTTATTGATATGGAAGTACCTACAGGCTGCAATGTATCTTTGAAGATATTAAAAAAGCTGTCAAAATACAAGAACCTTGAAATAGAAATCTCAAAAATGTGGCATATGGGAACATCAGCAATCCCTGCTGTAGTTGGAACCATAGGACTGGTTGGAAAATATTCCAGTTGTGACGTCCCTACAGCCTTCGCTCGCTCCTCGCTGCATTCGTTCGGGTGTCGCCGCTCCAAACGTGACGTCCGCCTGTCTGCGTCGGTCGTGTTGTCCCGTGCTGTGACGACCAACTGGCTTGGTATTGATCGCGGCATCCAAAGGTGACGTTCTAACCTTTTGGTGATTCGGATGGGAATCTGGTAAGATCCGATATCAGCCTCGTCGTTCCCAACTCGCTTCCAACGTCTGGTTACCGAAGTAACTGCGTTGATCTCCAGTCCGCCTACCCACGTTGTGAATTGATCTTAGGCAGACGAAATCAATCGGTCGTTGGGGCCGTAATGCAAGTTGAGTTCAAATGAGGGTGGTATCGCACAAATAGGTGTAAAAGAAAAGAAGTTCTAGGTATCAAAAAAAAGGATAATAATACTTTATATCTGGTTGCTGGATACATAGGACTGCGTTTATCTCCTGGCCCGCTATATGGATTGTGACACGTTGTTTTTGTTAGGTGAGTTTTAACATCTTAAGTTGTCTGTTTTTAAGAAATCGGTTCTTGGTGTGTCTTCCGGTGATAGTCGTAAAACTTAATTTGGTGGTATGGATCTAAGTCGCTCTTCAAAATAAATTGTTCTTGGATTGAACATGAGATCGGAAGTTGCGCAAATCTTTCAAGTCAGCTAATGCGAGGCGGGACTGAACTGGGAAACTCTCTCGGAAACTCTCTGGGAAAACTTTGATTTTCGCTCGCTGTGACTTTGCTTATATGGACGCCGACCAAAGCCGGGGTGGGCTTTGTTGGGGTTTGAGGTTCCTTAATAATTCCAAATCCACAATCCCCTTCTTTTGTTTTCGGTCAGGAAAAATTTATTATTTCCTTTTTTGGAAGTCTTCTCTACCTTCAGACGGCGTCAACGATCCTCCCACTTCTTCGCAGTAACATCTTATACCTATCCTCTCTAAGGAGTAGTGGCAGGCCTCCTCCCCTGCATCACATGATCACCTCCGCCTGGCTCTCGTTAACATTCATACAATTGTCGATCAACAGTGTGGTCGTGACCAGACTAGCCTTGTTTCTTAAAAAAAATATCTTGCTCAAAGAAAAAAAGAATTATCTCCTCTTTTTTCTTTTTTTTTCTATTTCCTTTCCTTCTTTTCTTTTCTATTCACTCTT